GGAGCGTGGAGCGAAGGGTCTCCCGTAGGGACAAACCAAGGCGAAGAAAAACCCCAAAAGTGCAGCAATAGCCTGTAGGAAGCTCAGGCAGCTTTCCCCCGCAGGACACTTGTCCAAGCTGCAGCTCCAGCAGCCCCAAAGGTCCCCGGGTCACAGAGGAGTCGCTGCGGGTCAGGCCAGCAAGGGCAGAGCACGGCGGGGATGCTCAGGTGGAAATGGGAAGGAAGGGAGGAGAAACAGACGGATAAAGTCCCGATTCCCTGTTGTACTTAGCGGCCACTCTTGAATTCGGATGGTTCGGGGGAGTTGCTGTCTGCACAGAAAATATTGATGCTCTTGTTTCAAGCATCTCTCTGGTGAGGGATGGGAAGGGTACATGGCAGGGAAAAACAGGCAGGGAGGGGTTGGTTCCTCGTTTAAGGGAGAACAGGGGCTTGGCTGAAGAAAGAGGAAGAGAAAGAACTTAAACCCACACCCTCTTCTGAAAACAGCTGTGCTCTTGCGAGGAAAAATGGTAAATGCGTTGTTTTCATACACATCTTTCCTCAAATACAAGTCCAGCACATCCTGAGGGGGCTGACCCTACAGCAGGGACATGACCTGCCCTAAACCTTATCCCATTCTTGATGGAGCCTTCCTTTACAGATAGGAATGATGGAGAGGAATGGGAATTCTTGGATAAGATGTTTTTTAAGTTTTTACTTGCAAGGCACCAGGCTGTCTCACTATTAAGAAACCCTGTGCCCCTTCGCCATCTGCTTAATCCAACAAAAAGCATTAAAGCTGCCTGCGGAAAAAAAAAAAAAAAAAAAAAAAAAAAAAGAAGAGCTTTTTTAAGAGCTTGTTTAAGTCAGGTGAGTATTTCTACAAAGGAAAAAACTTTGTATTTCCAGTGAGTTATTGCTAAAATATGAAGGAAATCATCAAATTACTTCAGTAAGTTCACCAGATGTTTGAGGAAACTGAAAATACAGGTTCCAGATTAAAGATAGAAAAAAAAAAATAAGTGACCTAAACCAAATTTTTCAGTAACAGGATTTAGTTTTATTGCCAAGGAGAGTGACTCCTCACACCCACTAGGACGTTTAAATCTGTGCACTTTTTTGATGCTTTTCATACAGTTGCAAAACACCAAAAGCTCACTTAAGCTGAACTCAAGTAAATCCCCAAAGAGTTTTCACAGTGACCAACTTCACCACTGAAAGAACTCCCAGCTCTTATTCACATACATTGCTTTTTACTTTTGTGAGTAGTGATCTCCCAAGCCACTTGTGAAGAACCAGACATTAATGTTTAAATGGCAGGGTGAGTTACATTTTTTAAATTGTATTTCTGAGGCAGAGGGATTAAACCCACCAAGGTTTACAGTTGTCAGGGGTTGGAGTCAGTAGTAGCACAAGGTGGAGTCCAAAAAAATCAAGGTTTTTTTGCTATCCTTGTAGGAAAGATGCCCTGTTAGACTGAGTTGGAACAACAGATTGTAAACCCAGACCAGAAAGGCACCACTGCAGTTGCTCAGCTTTAAAGGAGCCACATTGCTGGGAAATTCCCCTTGTTTATAAGGGATTTTACAGTTCAAGTGTTTATTTCCTGCATCACAGCACAGAGGACTTTTCTTCCATTGCAGCAGTGATTTCACAGGTCTGGCACCTACAGCAAAATCCCTTTTTACACACAAGTAATGGAGCAAAGAATATAAGACAGAACAGCAGTACTTAAAGAAAATTACATTTAGATACTGTTTTGCTAAGAGATCACATTGATGACCAATTAGTTGATATTGATAATGTTTAGACTATCAGGGAAAATTAATACCATGTCTGGAAGCTTTGGGATTCTTGCCAAGATGAGTTTTTCCTCCTATCTCTTGGTAAAAATAATCCATATTTGGGAAATGCTATCACAAGTACAAGACTGGATTTGTCATGGAAAAACTGACATTTAGAACAACTTAAACTAGAAAACTGAGCTGCTAAAAGAGGAGTTTCATGGAAGTCTGAGCTTACATTTGGAAGGCAAAAACATTCTTTGGAATGTGTCCATCTTCTGTTAACTGTTTTTAATATTAATGGAATATAGGTCAAGTGTTAAAGTGTTGTTTAAAAAATGCCAGCCAGTGTCAAAAAAAGTCTGTATATATCTCCTGATAATTTCAGGTTAAGGCTGAAACTTGAAAATAAAAAATTTACCTAGGATAAAAAGGAAGTAAACACAGTGGTGTGTAGAAAAAGGTTTAATTAAGTAGCTGGTAATGCTGCTTGAAGAATGCTGAAGCTACACTTCCAGTCTGCCCTGGCTGGACTGAGACATTGTCATTTGAGTGGGAACAAGAGGTAGGTTTACCAAGTTTTTTCATTTACTTTTTATCAAAAATATTCCTTCAGTATTGGCAGGCATTGAATAGGGCCTGTTCCCTTACAGAGAAATAAATGAGTTTTTGAGAGGGAAATTAATCAAACTTCTAACATGTTAGTACTTTCAACAGGTCAAGAATAATTTAGGGAAAAAAATGACTAGAAATAAATAAGTTTCTTAAGTACAACAGAGTGAGTAAAGGCCATCTGAATTAAAATCTCCCTTTCTGCTTGAATTTAGTCTGATGAACAAGAATTTTGCTCTTTGGAGAAGTAATTTCTTTAAAATCTGCCAGCAAGAGATGTGCCAGTTTCTAGAAACTTTCTCCCACTCAGTCAGGCCTCGATAGATTGCACCTGCACTAAAGAGGCACTGAGGCATCCACTTAGCATCTCCCAGTAGATTCTTGCTCCTTGGAAATGCAATACAATAGCAAATCACGATTGCTGAGCCTCCCTGTAGAAAAAGCTTTTCACAGACAGCAAAAATTAAGGAGGCATTTCGTGGTGAGGTCAGGATTTAGAATTTCCACAAAGCAATCCAAGGGTTTGGGCTGTTTTGTTTGGGTTTTTTTAAAATCTTTTCTTGGTGAACTTTGTTTCAGTGTAATTAAACTGTGCAAACATTAAAGCCCATTTATTCATTATTATTGCTTTCTTCTACTGGCAACTGAGTTAGAGATAAGGAATGACATCAGTAGCTCCTGAAGAAAGGGCACATTAACCTGCTTTGGAGCAGGAGCAGCCCTGATCAATTCTGCAAGTTGTTTCCTATATCCCGCCCTATCCAACCTCACCAGTGCCAAGGAGAAGGTTTGGGAAGCAGGGAACACCATTTACTGTGTTCTGCTGTTTGATTCCCAGAATCCCAGAACTGTCAGGGCTGGAAGGATCTCTGGAGGTCACCCAGACCAGGCCCAAATGCAGTTCATGCATTCCATATGCAGCCAAGGAGAGCTGTCTGACCAGGCAGCTTTCTTTGCCGGTATTTTTTCCAGTTGAAGACTCAATTAAAATTGCTTTTTCTCCCTTTATTTTGCCATACATTTAAATGGAAGCATGTGAGGGTGAAGATCAGTCATTCCAGCTTCTTACATCAGCTCCTTGCCTTGGCTGTGCCCCTACACCTAAACACACCTGAAGAGTTGGAGACAAAGACACAGACTGGGATGTAACCACTTTCCAGCCATGCTGCTTTAACTTCCATGGAGACATTTCTGTCCTCAACATCCATGGAATAATTTCTGTCCTCAGCATCCATGGAGTCATTTCTGTCCTCAGCATCCAAGGAAGAATTTCTGTCCTCAGCATCCATGGAACCATTTCTGTCCCCAATACCCACAGAGCCATTTCTGTCCTCGTTCTCAGGAGATGCTCGAGGGCTCTGTGAGCTGTGAGCAGCTGCCACAGAGGAATTGTCCTGGCAGAGCCTGAAGGAATCCAGGATCACAGCAGTCCCCAGGGTGCTCCTGTCTCCTCTGCCTATGGATGCTGCTGGCACCAAGGATGCAGCTCCTCTCCCAGCACCCACCTGTGAGTAAAGCCCAGGCAAGAAGGAATTTGACCTCTCATAAGGCAGCACAAACCATTTGAGCTTAAACCCTGATTACTGGAATGAAAAGGATAAAGTTAAATGAATATTGCATCACTGAATTTCAATAGGAAATGCTGATTATTGAACAATCTGTTGCATTGTGTTGCTCTGGCCATGTTTAGAGTTATGAGGGGGAGAAATCCCATGCATACCTCAATGATAGTTGTGTAAATACTTTGAGCAAATATATTCACAGTCTCAATTTCCTTCCTTATTGCTTTGAGAGATTTACCAGAACATAAACTCAGGCAAGCTATGAAATGGCACAGAATGTGTGTCACCCTCACAGACATTTTTCATCAATGGACAGGAGGCAGAATTTTGTCAGTTATCATTTGCTCCAAGATGTAAAATATTATTAATCAATCCTGCACTGTGGATCAATACATGAAGTTAGCAGTTGGGAAGCAGAAGATGCTTATTAATCCTGAAAAATCCCATTATCCCATTATTTTGCATTTGATCTCAAATAGGCCTCGCATCTTTAAATGTTTGAAATCTGTGTGAGCCTAAATTGTGTAGGAAGAGATTACTCATTACCTATAATTGGAATGACTGCCTGCTGACTGCCAACTGTGGATACTCAAATTATTAGACGGAGGTTGCAAATAAGCACTGGCTGGTTTAAATTATTTAGTGCAAAATATGTTAATATTGCTTTTTACTAGCACATTTTAAATTGGTTTGCCAATATGGAGTTTATGTTACGGTTCATGATCAGATGTTTAATGAGATATAATGAATTAAAACTGTGAGGAATTAAATTTCTTCTTTGGATTGTGGGATCAGAAAGAGATTAAGCTCTAAGAAAACTGTTTGGGATTGTTTAGTGGGGGTAAAACACGAATTACTTGTATGTAAAATGTTGTAAAAATTTGTTATTTAAGAAAGCCCTAAAAGGGACAGTGCTAAGCTGAGGCACAAATTAGCTTTATTATCTTATTACTACAGCGACTGAGTAGGTTTTTTTTCTTTCCCCTAGTTCTGGAAATAAAAATCCCCAAGCAACCCAACACGTTTTCACCCGGGAGTGCAAACCATGACTGAAGGTCCAAGTCCTGGACGCCCATTCCGATTCTCACTCCGCGTGCCCGTGAAAAAGATGTCCAACAACACAACAGAGGCCTCCAGCAACGCTCCCCCGGCCCTCCTCGGCCTGTTCCTGGGAAGCATTTCCCTGGTCACCATTGTCATGAACATGCTAGTGCTGTGTGCCGTGAGAAGGGAGAAGAAGCTGCAGACTGTGGGTAATCTGTACATCGTGAGCCTCTCCATCGCCGATCTGATCGTGGGGGCGGCCGTGATGCCCCTGAACATCGTGGACCTGCTGAGCCCCGAGTGGCCCCTGGGGCTGGCAGCCTGCTTGTTCTGGCTCTCCATGGATTACGTGGCCAGCACGGCCTCCATTTTCAACCTCTTCATCCTGTGCATGGACCGGTACCGCTCGGTGCAGCAGCCGCTGCGGTACCTCAAGTACCGCACCAAGATGAGAGCCTCGCTGCTCATCCTGGGGGCCTGGCTGCTCTCCTTCACCTGGGTCATCCCCATCCTGGGCTGGCACGTTTTTGCCAACAACGGGCAGAGGAAGGTGGAGGAAAACAAGTGCGAGACAGAGTTCTTTGAAGTCACCTGGTTCAAAGTGCTGGCGGCCATCTTCAACTTCTACCTGCCCTCCCTGCTGATGCTGTGGTTCTACTGCAAAATCTTCAGGGCTGTTCGACAGCACTGCCAGCACCGAGAGCTCAGCAATGGGTCCCACTGGTCATCCACGATAAAAAACACCACACATCACACCAGGATGAAGGATGAGAAAAATACTTGTCCCCAGGAGCAAACCTTAGGTGGGAACACCCCCGGTGCAAACAAGCAAAGCTCCCCAGAACCCCAAAAAGTGGAGGCAGAGCTTCATTTCAGCCATCCTGCCAGGGCTTCAAAGGCCCTGAGAAATGGGAAGGTTCTGAAGTGGAGCTGTTTCTCTCTCACCACAGCCAAGCCTGAGCCTGGCCTGGATAAAGCAAGGAAGAGGGGGGCGTGTGCCACGAAAAAAACTGGGAATAAGGAGCAGCCTGGCTGCCAGGACAGTGACTCCAGCGGGGCATCAGACAACCACACCTTCACTGAGGTGGCCCCCTGGGCACAGCCCAGGCCCTGCTGCCCTCAGGGAGGGACCGAGCGCAGGGACTCCAGAGGAATGACATTCCTGAGGAAAACCTGGCACACCCTGCACGGCCATTCCAGGAGCATCCAGCGGCACGGGAACAGGGAGAGGAAGGCAGCCAAGCAGCTGGGGGTGATCATGGCAGCCTTCATGCTCTGCTGGATCCCCTACTTCGTGCTCTTCATGGTGATAACGTTCCACGACCACAAACAGCTCTCAGAACTGCACAGGGTCACCATATGGCTGGGCTACATCAACTCCACCTTAAACCCATTCCTCTATCCTCTCTGCAACCAGAATTTCAAGAAAACTTTTAAAAAGATCCTTCACATTCATTGATGCTGGTCTGGGGTTTTGGAGCTCAAGTGCAGCTCAGGAGTTTGACCAAACAAAACATTCCTGTTTCAAATGAAGGGTACAGTAAAAGACTTTGGCAAACTGTAATCTGTAAATAAGTGGTAGTAGAAGTGGGAAATGTGTATTTAATAGTTTTAACTCATTTGAAGAGCAACTTCAGGTCAAGAATCTGAATAACTCAAGGTCAACACATGAACTGTTACATCGTTGTAACCGTTCGAGACCACCGCTTCCATTACAGAAATGGAGACACAAATAAACTTCTTCAGTGATTATAAATTATTCACCTACAGAAAAGGAAGAAATCACATTTCTGTCATTGGCCAAAAACATTTTTCTCTTTCAACTTGACTTTCCATTAAACACATTGCTTGTGAAGTGAGATTTGCAAGTGGAGGTACTTTGCACAGTCAAAGAAAGAACTAGCAACTGTTTAAAAAAAACTCCCCTATTTATTTATAGCTTCCTCTAAAGCACAAACTTCTCATCAAATGTCAAGTTTTAGTGTGTATCCTACTGTATCTCTTTGATATCATGCTTATATTAACTGGTACATTAACTTTGCTGAAAAAAGTAATTTTTTATGTCCCAAAAGAATTTCCATGCTCAATATACTGTCACCATCTGCTCCAGAAGGGTGTGATGCCGTTTCTAAACTTGCAGAACATAGTTGATTATACATGAAATATGTTTACCTTTTCTACCCTTTGTTTTTAATTGTATTTCATAAATTTTGTTGCCAAATATTTCAGGAGAAAAACTCAATAATTGAGTACTCAGTGTTGGAAAAGAGACCAAGAAGGTGTTGGAGTGCAACTGAAAGCTGGGCTGGCTTTGATATTACAAAGAAAAAAGAAAGTTCTCTCATTCCTTTTGTTGTGCTGATGAATTTCCCATGTTCTGAACAGTTTCTTAATTGTATTTAAAGGATTCAATATTAAATGAAGCCGTAATATATCTGCATTTTAATTGGGGAAATGTGCTAAAGGAATAAACTTAAATTAGGTAATATCAGTGTATCATGCAAAGTTCAGAAATTAATTGAGTTTGGTTTCAAGTTTCATGTAAGAAAAACTGCAATTAGGAAACTTAAATCTAGGAGAAATAAGGCAAAATGCAGAGAGAGAACATAAAACCAACAAAATTCACTGCAGAATTCAGACAACTTTTTCACTGCAGGAGGAACACCTGCACAAGTAGTAAAATGAACCTTTTTGGAGTAGAGAACAGAACCTTTTGAAACACATGCTCTAATCCCTGGCCTTCCACAAACAATTGCTGAGGTTCACAGCCATTAAATTGTTTTTTTCTGTTCTGATTTGCAACAGCAATTCTGACCAAAATGGATGGTAATTTAGATGATTCCTGAGGAAATAAAAGTCAGCCACAGTTATTAGTGCTGAAAAACACTTTTACCCAAGGGCTGCTGAGAGTTTTCAAGAAATCTGTCCTGTTGATCATGAAAATTGCCTTTTCTGACCTTAAAATGTACTAATACACTAACACAAAACCTCAGCAAGATCATTGAAAATTGGTCTAAAAATGATGGTGACTGTAACAATAAAAACCTTTGGTAAAAATAAAGAACACTCAAACAGCTAAACCCAGGAAAATAAAGCTGCCTTAATATATATATATATTTTTTTAATCTCAAGTCATTTTACCCATGATCTTTGTGTAACTGTGTTAATAGCAAAGACAGAGGATTTGTGATAGCCACATTTTATAGCTATAAGATAACAATAAAATAGGGAAATGGAAGAGTGCCTATTTAAAATAGCAAGTACCTAAGAAAATGTCTGAGTTTATTTCACTGAACAGGCAGTTCCAGTGGCTCTGGATGTGAGGGAAGTAGAGGAAAGCAAATTACAGTAAGAAATGGAGAAGCCTCCCACCAGTGTGGGGCAAGGCTCGAGAGAACATTTCAGGTGTGGTTTCCTGTAAAATGTTTTCAGCCTTTTCCAGTTGACCACCAAGGTCAGAGGACACGGAGCTTCAGAGAACACAATGAGAATCTGGGGATTTCTTGGAGATGTGAAAAACAAGTTCATTCTCTTATGAACATTTAAAAAGTTTAATAAAGGACAATAGGAGACAAGGAGCATAGAGCAAAGGTTATTATGGCTGGGGGCATCTTGGTACCCAGCCAAGAGCACACCTGCCAGTTTGGAAACACCCTTTAGATACTATTTCTATTGCATCAGCCTGTTACATATTCACAAACAATTATAAAGTAACTTTTTCAGTTAAAAGTTACTTTTACATAGTAAACTTCCCCCCAAACTAGTTTACATGTTCCAAGAACTGTTTAGCTTGGCTCCTCCTCGGTTCCACCTTTTCAGAGCATGCACATTCCTTGGTTGTGGTTTTGGTCCATTCTTATCACCTCCAGTTATGGGCTTTGGTCCATAACTGTCCATATTTTGATTCAAAATATGGTCCATATTTCCTTCAGAAGGTGGGTGCTGATGGTTGGCAGATCTGTGCAGGTGTCCTCATCCTGTGTTCACTGGGCGTTATCCCATCCCAGCAGGCACTGTAACACAAGCACACTTACATCCGCTATTCACCAAGCTTGTTTAACAACAAAAACAAAAACTGTATCTTTATAACAAAGTTACTTCAACACCACACATACAAAATCCATTTTAACACTCGCGGAGAGCCAGTATTACAATATGCCGCACACGGGAGGGGAAACATCAGCGCAGGTGCACGTTTGGCCATTTTTACACCATCTAAAATGGAATTAAATTAAATTATTAGATTTTCTGAGGGCTCTGCTGCGTGCCTGGGAAGTAGGAGCAGCACACGGCAGCGGACACACGGACGGCTCCGAGCGCTGCGGGACACGGGCCCGCCCGACCGCCGCGAGGCGGGGGATGCTACCGAGGGAGGGCGGCACCGCCGCATCCCACCGGGACCGGGGCCGGGGCCGAACAGGGACAGGGACGGGGATGAGGACGGGGATGGGGACCGGGGCCGGCCCACCCACCGTGGATGCTACCGAGGGAGGGCGGCACCGGGGGGGGCCGGGGCCGGACAGGGACAGGGATGGGGACGGGGATGGGGATGGGGACGGGGATGGGGACCGAGGCCGGCCCACCCACCGTGCCTCGCACGCCATCATCCCGCGCCGCCCGGCCCGTCACATGCGCCCGCCGCGCTAACATCACCGGTGTGCGCCGGCCGGGGATGCCGGAAGTGCGGAGCGAGCGGCGCAGCCGGTACGGGGGAGCGGGGATGGAGCGGGCGGGTCCTGCTGGCCCCGGGCACGGGCACCGCCACCGGCACTGCCACAGCCCCGGGCACCGCCATCGGCACGGCCCCCGCGGGGTCACAGCCCCGGCACCGTCCCCGCAGTGCCCCTTGCACCCCCGCGGTCGGTGTGTCCGGGCCTCACCGGCTGCCCGGGGCCGCAGTCACGCGTAGATGAGGCGGGCGCTGCCCCCGTGTCACTGTGCGGGGCCGGTTCCGTGTCAGTGTGCGGGGATGGCGCCATGCCCATGTTCGGTGCCGGTGCTGTGTAGGTCCTCTGTCAGCCCCGTGTGGCTGTGCGGGTCCCGGTGCCGTGAGGCTGTGCGGGGCCGGTCCCATGTCAGTGTGCGGGGATGGCCCGTGTCTATGTTCGGTGTCGGTACCGTGTGGCGGTGCGGAGCCGGTCCCATGTCAGTGTTCGTGTCCGGGCCCGGTGCCGTGTAGATCCTCTGTCAGCCCGTGAGGCTGTGCAGGGCCGGTCCCGGTGCCATGTGGCTGTGCTGTTCCCGTGTCCGGTCCGTGTTCAGCCCCGTTCCCGTGTGGCTGTGTCCTTCCCGTGTCCGTGTTCGGTCCCATTCCCGTATGGCTGTGCCGTGTCCGGTCCCGTTCCCATTCCCGTGTGGCTGTGCCGTGTCCGGTCTCGGTGCCGTGTCCGTATCCGGTCCCGTTCCCTGTGGCTGTGCTGTGTCCGTGTCCGGTCCCGTGTGGCTGTGCTGTGTCCGTGTCCCGTTCCCATTCCCGTGTGGCTGTGCCGTGTCCGGTCCCGGTGCCGTGTCTGGTGCCGTTCCCTGTGGCTGTGGTGTCCCGTTCCCGTGCCCGTGTCCGGTGCCGTTCCCTGTGGCTGTGCCGTGTCCGTGTCCGTGTCCGGTGCCGTTCCCTGTGGCTGTGCTGTGTCCGTGTCCCGTTCCCTGTGGCTGTGCCGTGTCCGTGTCCCGTTCCCTGTGGCTGTGCCGTTCCCGGTGCCGTTCCCGGTGCCGTGTTCGGTGCCGTGTCCGGTGCCGTTCCCGGTGCCGTGCCCGGTGCCGGTGTCGCCGTGCCCATGCCGGCCGTGTGTGTCCCGCAGGGCCGCGCTCCCGCCGGGCCATGGCCGCTGCCCGCTCGGTGCCGGGCCGTGCCGGGCCGTGCCCGCTGCAGTTCGCTCCGTTCAGCAGCGCGCTGGACGCGGGCTTCTGGCACGAGCTGACCCAGAGGAAACTCAACCAGTACCGGCTGGACGAGACGCCCAAGCTCATCAAGGGCTACTACTACAACGGTGAGCACCCACCCGCCGGGCTCTGCTAGCTCAGGCTCTCCTCTAAGTGTATTCCGCTCCTCTGGCGTGTTTCAGATGTTTGCTGAAACACTAGAAAGAATAGCTGGGGATTTTGTATGTTTCGCTGTCATTTACATCAACAAAAAGTGGAAGTAACCTGAATGTTTTGGTTTAAAAGGAGCTTTGTTGCTGCTTTTTTGTCCAGGTGATCCTTTGGGTTTGCCAGCTCGCTTGACACTGGAGTTTAGTGCCTTTGATATGTAAGTAGAGGCTCTGGTTTGCCTTCGTTTGTGTGTGGAGACACTTTCCTGGCATAAAATTGGTATATTAGTTAGAGAAATCTATGTAAGAATAAATAACTCTATGTGAGAATAAGTAAATAACCTTTTTACCAAAGGTTTTTGTTGTTACAGTCACCATCATTTTTAGACCAATTTTCAATGATCTTTGTCATGTATTAGTACATTTTAGGGTCAGAAAAAGGCAATTTTCCTGAATAAATAAATAATGAACTTTATAACAGTGGAGGGACTGCTTTGTCACAAAAAATTAACTCCCTCTGGCTGAATTTAAAATATTGTGGATTCTCAGATTCTCTCACTTTCTGCATGTATGTTTACCCCCCATTTCTTCAGGTTTTTTGCTTTAGGGAGGTTTTTTTAGTCATTTGACTCATTCTCTTATAGCTTAATTATGATTTCAAATAGTTTTTACAGTCCCTGGTTGTTACACTGCAATTTCTTCCAAAATGGTTATCTGTTATGACTGGAAAAATACCAGGTTTTGAAAGCAGTGCTGAAGGAGGCAATGAAATCAATCAGATGTGTAAATTAAGGGACTATTGTAGGGTTTTACCTAATTTATCTCAAAAATAAAGTACTGATTGCAAAGAGCAGCTTCTCCAGCTGATGATGTTACAAACTATAGAAGCTGCTCAATCTTTGGTTTGGCTTTCCTTTGGGATGTGTTTTAAACATCAAATTTTAACTAACTCTTTATGTGAGTACAAAATTGGCATCTAAGTTCAGCCGAAATTAGCTTTTCTCAGTGCAAATCCCATTTGTCACAGGTAGCTTTTGTTTGAACAGGATTTAAAAGCTTCAATCCTTGATTTAGTGTCACTCTGCTTGGAGAACACAGATGTCAGATGTGTTTTTGAAGCCATGATGGAGATGTGTGTTTGCGCTGGTTGTTATTCCACCAATCCATGTTCATAAAGATTAATTACTTTATTTAATTAATGGTAACTTTGTTGCTGTGCCTCATCTGATATTTGACATTAACACCAAAAGATAGATGCTGCTGCTGACTGTGTTAATTCCCAGAGTTTTCCTTCTTTTTCCCAGGAATGCTTCAATACCAGCACGTTGCTGTCCTGCTTTTGGAACGTTGTATAACACCAACACTTTTGAGACTTTCAAATCCTGTGATAAGAAAGCACTTCTGGACAAGGAAGCAAATGAGGTGAGTTTTAAAATCAAATCACAGAGTGTTTCCAAATCCTTTCTACCCCTTGAAGTGCTTCACACTCTGCCCCAAATTTGGAGATACTCCAGTCCTGAGTAGCCTCAGGATTTAGCTCATTCTAGAAGGAAGTTTGGTGTTTGCTTTTTACTGTTCCCTACAAAAGAGCAGAACCTAATTTAATTGATGATAACTGATTCTACGTGGAGAACTCCATCACATTTTAAGCTCTGCAATGCTCTTGGAGCTGCCAGGGACTTGAATTCTGTAGATTAAATATTTAAAATTTGTGTTCATACCCAAAAACCAGCAGTGCCTGGTTTAAATCTCAGATTACCATAATTTACCTGTGACAAAAAGATGTGGTGCTCCACAGGAGCAAGAAGCCTGAGATAATAGAGCAAGAAAAAGATGGGTGAGAGGGGCTGGTCTGCCTGCACTGTCACCAGTTAATTTAGTGTCATGGCCTGGGGAGAGTTGAAAGTCAAATTTAAGATGCTTTACTTTGACCTGTGCTTGATTTCTTTAATTAATTACCTCGTGTATTAAAGTTTTCATGCATTCCCAAACTAGGAATTTTTTGCATTCCTGTGGCCTTGTAATTTCCTCTTGTCTGACCTTTAAAATCCTTTTAATGCAGAGAGTGGTATGAATAAATTCAGTTTAAAAAAAAGTCAGTGAATGTTTATCTCCAAAGTTTAAAGGTAGTTAGAAGAATTACAGATTTTTGCAGCTGTTCTCATGTTCTCCTGGTGTTTCTCTGCCCTTTTTCTTCCTTCTTGTCCCTACAATCCGTGGCAGATCTGGGAATCAATCAAATCTGGAGCTGCTCTGGAGAACCCAATGCTCTTGAATAGGTTCCTGCTGCTGACATTTGCAGTGAGTACAGATAATTTGTGTCTCCTACTTGTAGTGGAAGTAGTGAAGTAGCTTCTTTTTAGGAGTATTTGTATATTTCAATAATATCAATATATTTCAATAATATCAATATATTTCAATAGTATCAATAATAATGCTGCATTAATATATTTTTATATTGTTTTCTACAAATGTATAAGATTACCTGGTGGCCTTACAGATATCAGTAAAAGTAGAGCAGCTGTTTCATGTTGAATAAATTGAAAGCTTTACTAAATGTTCCAGCTAACAAAGCCTGAAGGATTGTACACACATTGTCTGTTTAAATCTTAAATTAAAACATATACAGAGAATGGAAGTCTTTTAGTATTTTTATGATTTTTCTAAAATCATTGTGAGGTAAAGACCCCTGTGGTTCCTATGGTTCAAATCATAAACTATTAATTTTAATTAGCATTATATAATTTATTTTGATGTATCTTTTTATTACCTAATTTTACCTTTTTTTTCCCCTTAGGATTTAAAGAAGTACCATTTCTATTACTGGTTTTGCTACCCTGCTCTCTGCTTCCCTGATGGAATTCAGATAACTCAGAAGCCTGTCTGTCTTGGGGACAGGTTCTCACTAAATCAGGTATTCAAAATCCTAAAAATTGTGAATTCTGCAGTACTGAGAATTTCTGTGAGCTTTTTAAAACTTAGTATTTTTTGTCAACACATCCTGAATTAATTGTAGACTCTAATTTCTTTTTTCTTAACCTTCACGTTTTTATTTCCATGTTCGTTTTTTTGTTTACCTTTTGTTCCATGATTGTTTAAATTATCTCAGTTTAGGTGCAGATATGGCAAACAACTCTTGAAGAGGTGATTATGCTGAGCTGTATATTTTATATTTATTTTTGAGATACATATGTTAAGCTGTCTATAAAAATGACAATATGTAGTTATGTATACAGCTTTGGTTTTGAAACTCTTTTATAAAACCTTTATAAAGGGCCACCCCCTGAGTGAACCAAATCATTAAATTTCAAAATTATTAATAAAATGCATGTTTCGGCAAGAAAAAGAAGGGTTTTTTTATTTTTTTGGGAAAAAAATAAACAAATTTTAGTTTCTTTCATATTACAGTGCAGAATTGTTAAAACTGTTGGTTCAGCTGTGTTTGCACTTTCAGATCCAAGCCCTGCAGAAAGCCTACGATGACCTCTGCCAGGAGGAGGGGGTGACAGCCCTGCCTTATTTTTTAATCAAGTATCATGATAATTCTGTCATGATATCCCTGCTGAAAAAGTGGGATGGCTTCTTTCAAGACCAAGGAGAAAAGGTAATGAGAATTTGATGTCATTTTATATAGTTAAATGTTTAATCTGTGAATGGTTTGAAGCTCTGATGCTGAGCTGGGCACGGTGCTTGTGTCTTGAGGGTGGCTGTAAAGAGATTTTTGTGCTGTTTTCCCTTTGATTTGTTCTCTTGCTGGCCTGTGCCCTGTCACTTTTTGATCATCCCAAAATCAGTGCAGAATTCTGGGCTGGGAGCAAGGCTTCAGTTGCTGGGCTTCCCTCCTAATTGTGTTTTTGAAGCAATGAAGGTGCATTTACTGCAGGGAACATCCAGTGTCCCTGAAGAGGCCAAACTGAATAAATCTCAAAGCTGTGGCAAAAGCTTGAGGAAAGCCTGGTGTGACCATGGATTAAATATTTATAAATATGCAAAATGTGTCTGTAGACCTGCCCTGTCCAGCAGTTTTATTTTAAAATGCCAACTACCCTTTGCCTGACTGTGGATGGAGGAGTTCTCATGTAGAACAATTTGATTTGCAGGTGACTGTTGGAGTTTATGATCCTTGTAATTTATCCCAGTATCCAGGATGGCCACTGAGAAACTTCCTGATCCTGGCAGCCCACAAATGGTATCTATTTTATTCTTTCCCACAAAGAGTATTTATTGGTTGATATTAAATGAGGTATTTTTCTCCATGGTATTTCACTCATATCACCCACTTGAGATTTTGTTTTTTCCCTTGACATTATCTGCTCGGAGTGATTCTGGTTTTGTGCATTATTCTGTTTTTTACTTCTGTCAGTCACAAATTCCTGTTTATCCTAATCCTCACATGGATGCATGCACCTGGGAATGCCAGCTCCACACCCTGCCAGTACCCTGCAGCTGTGTCAAATCTTGTTCAAAATACTCTGTGAATTTATAGAATTAATTAGTGTCAAGTAATAGCAGACTTTAAAAAACAGATATTAGTAGGTTTTCTCCTTGTACCACTTGATTTTTTTTTTTGGTGGGGAGAAGACAAGACACAGTTTTACACTCTGGGTTTTGAAAAAAAAGGATTTAATTTATTGAATGAATTTGGGTTTCTGTAACAAAACTGTAATTAGGTTGCACATCCATAGTTTTGAGTGTTACATTTACTCAACCTTGGGTGTGAGAAGAGTTTAGGCACTAAAATTCTCATTTTCTGTTTGGGGGTTTGAATCATAAGGAGGAAAAATTATGTATATAGAGAACTCAGAGAATCTTGGTGCTGCAGCAAAGTCCCAGCATGTCACCTGATGTGTGCTCTGGTGCTTTTCTGCTTTTTATCCCTCTAAATCTGCAGTTTGTCCAGTGCTGGATAAATGCAAGGACAGGCTGACAGTGGCATTGCTTTGGAGCTGTGTCACACCAAACCAGTCATTTCTTTACACTTCAGGAATTATTTCTCTTTCTGTACCTGATAAAGACAACAATGTCCAGTACCAAGACAAAAAGCCTCATTCAGAACCTGCAAAGGACTAAACCTGTGTGAAATGGTGTTAAAACAAGTCCCTTTTCTGTTAAAGAAATTGCATGTCTGTCTGTATTTCTTTTATTTGACTGGCAGGGGCAGTGCTCTGCAGAGGCTTGAAGTGCTCTGCTTCAGAGACAGGACCATGCAAGGGGTGAGAGACATCTCACACAGCATCATCTTTGAAATCAAACTGCCAGAGGCACCCCTGGGCCCAGGTAAGCCATTAAAAACTTTTTTTCCCCTTTTTTTTTTTTCTTCATCACTGCTGACATGGCAAAATAAATTACTGCTACAAAATCATTGCTTATGCTAAGTTGTTTCAAATGGATTTTAAATTGTTTGAATTTCTGTTAAATGTCTCTAAAGGAAATGGTTCCTTTTTCAACAAAGAAAGAAGAGAGAATTTTCTCTCAAATTTTTTTCCTCCTGTAATTCTATTTCTAATTGAAAACTAAGAAAAGTCCTGCTGGTAGCATAGAAAATACAATAAAACAGCAGTTTGTGTCATTTTTTCCTGTTGAATTTGTATACAATCCCTCAGGTAGGAAAAAAGTGATAGTGACTTAATGAGATGCAAAATTTCTGGAGAATTTCTAAAATGATAAAAACCTGCCCCAGAGTGGAACTGTTCCTTTAATCCCATGGTGACACATCCAGGTGTATTTTAAAGCAGTAGACTTGAAATGCTAAAACAAAATCTCAGATTCAATTTCTAGATACAGGACAGTATAACAAAATTTCTCTACCTCAGGCAAAAAGTTCTGAAATACTTCAGATTTCATTGTTACAAAATAATTAATTCTGTATAATTAAGATACATAATTCTGCACTGAATTTGCAGATGGGGTCTAGGGACCATGGAATGATGACTGAAATTGGCAAAATTGACTGAATTATGAATTTACTGAGCTTGACATTAAAGATCTGGTGGGGAATGATGCCAGCTCTGTGCTGGGTTTGAAGCTGAACAGGCAAAAGCAGCACAGGGGACACCTGAGAGCAAAGAAATTCTCCAGGAACTTTCAGCTGATGTAAACAGCACAATTTGTCTAGCAGGTTGTTAAAGTACAGCTTATTTACTGGCAGGTTTAAAATAAGGTTTTTTCCAACAGGGTTAAGTGCAAAAAAATGTCTTATTTTCTGTCCTGGGATATTAAGGTTTTTATTATTTCTTTCCTTTATTCTTGCTCTATTTTTTTTTTTTTTTTTTGGTTTTTTTTGTTTTTGTTTTTGGGGTTTTTTTTTTTGGTTGGTTGGTTGGTTGGTTTTTTGTGTGTGTGTTTTTAATATTTCAAACAGATTGTCCAAAAGCTGTTGGATGGGAGAAAAACCAAAAGGGAGGCATGGGGCCAAGGATGGTGAATCTCAGTGAATGCATGGATCCAAAAAGGTTTGGTTTTTATCTTTTAAATTCCCATAGTTTTCTTTAGTTGGGTTTAAGCCATAGCAAGTTGAAATGTGAAATATGTAAGAATATGCAGTAAAACATCCACTGGACATTGTCTGGACTTTCTTTTGGAGGTAAGGACCTTCACAGAGCAGTGCACTGCCTGCAGCAGAAATCTTGGCAATTTTGGACTCTAGTTGAGAATTCTGGATGCATTTATTTAAAACTGAGTGAAATGTAGGTCAGAGTGTTTCAGGCCTGTGGATTTCATTGAATTCCATAACCTTCAGGGTGTTAATGAAAATAAGCGTGGGGGAAAGTTCATCCTTTGGGGTTTGTCAGAGTGGGACAGGAAGGAGCTCAGGAAATGTGAATTTAATAATTTTTATCATTCTGTTTGTGCAATGGATTGAAAAGAATGAGGTTACAGAGTGTCTGCATGTGTCCTTGCCTTGAAAAACTTCTTGGTCTGATGGTTCAGGTTCAGCCCATCAAGCAAAGCCATTTTTGTCAAGCATTTGTGGAAATTCTCAGAGTCTTCACAGATATTCAATAAAGCTCATCTCAGGGTTCTTAATTCTTTAGGTTTCTTGACCTTCTTTACTTATATCAATTATCTAAGTGCTTCCCAAACAGGTGTTGGTAAAATGCCAGCCTTGATAATTGCCATTTAAATCCTTGTTGGGCAAATAATCTTCTGGATGCTGAAAAATTTTTATTTATGATGTGTGAGGGAATGAAACTTGCAGGAATCTGAGAGCTGTGGTGGTCTGGCCTGGCGAGAGCTTTAACACCCTGTGTTCTGATGGATATAAAAATCTGCCCCTTGCTGGAACACAGATTTCCTACTTCATTTTCTTTCTTAAACTTCCACAAAGAAGGGCCCACATGCTTTAGGGCAAGTGGAATATTTCAAGTTAAGGGCAGGTGTAACTGGATACAGGAAACCAGCTAGTTTAAAAAAGAAACAAAAATTTATGGAAAACTATCTGTCTTAGCAGTCAGCTTAACAGGAGTCTTGGCTGAGACACCATTTTTATTTTCATCCTTGCATCAATTTCATTACTAAAATTCTAGTTTGGGATTGTTACTTTTTCAGAAGCCCTAATCTGTTTATTTTCCATATTACCTATGTGTTACACTGCTGAATTCTTTCTCTCTTTAAAAAAAATTTTCAAAATTAACTCATTCAGCTGAAATGTCAGCAATTCCTTTGTTGGCAAAGCACAGGAGGGTTCAGACTTGTTGTTGTTTATTCATGGCACAGGTTGGCAGAATCATCCGTGGATCTGAATTTGAAGTTGATGTGCTGGAGGTTGGTGCCTACTCTGGATTTGGAGAAGATTGTGGCTGCCAAGTGTCTGCTGCTGGGAGCTGGCACCCTGGGCTGTAGTGTTGCAAGGACCTTGATGGTAAATCCTTCATCTCACAAATAATCTCCTGCTTCTCATAAATTCTGTATTTCTTTATTTTTTTTTGTCCAGCTGCCATGACACATCAGAGACAAATTGCATTCTCTGCATCAGAATACACGGAATGCACATTAGTTATATTACAAATTGCAGGGAAGAGGTGAGATCTGTACCTAGTGGAAATGAATAACTCGAGTTCTGCTGACATGAGATAGTAAGGGAACCTTGGCAGAATATTTTGACTTTATATTAAAAAAAGAGATTCTGGAACAAATTGACAAGCTATAAAGACCAAATTCACAGTGAAGCACTTGAAATAACTGTGCTGGTAATTCCTTCCAGGGGTGTTCACCCCTTTCCACTGAATTCAGCAAGGTTTCAGGGATTTCTCTTAAATGCTATATTTATCATTTAACAAGCAAATTATTTGTATATATTTATAATATATATATATATATTTAGCAACCAAATTTTCTGTTCCCTTATTTCAGTCACCTCGAATAATTGCAAAAACTTTTGTATCTTAAAAATTTGGACAAAAACTCAACGTTAAATGTGTGGCATTCCTCAAAAACATTTTCCAAGGCTGTTGTAATCATCTTTATTAACTTTGGTTCTCCTTTAGGGCTGGGGGGTGAGGAAAATCACTTTTGTGGACAATGCAAAGATCTCCTACTCCAACCCCGTGCGGCAGCCGCTCTACGAGTTCGAGGATTGCCTGAGTGGGGGCAAGCCCAAGGCTCTGGCAGCAGCAGACAGGCTGCAGAAAATCTTCCCAGGAGTGGTAAGGTCATTATTTCCATGTTGCTGTCACTGGGCAAACAAAACCAAAAAAAAAAACCCCCAAAAAAGTGACTTTAAATTGCTATTCCAAGCTTTAATGGTTAAACATTAAAAACACTACGCAGATGTTCTGAAATATTTTAGTTGCTTACTGAAATATTTTACTTCAAATGTCCCTTCCTGGTAACTTTTTTGAGGTAAATATTTGTAGTAATGAAATATAATTAAGGATCATGAAGTCATCTTGTAGCTTGTTGAGAGTGAAGTGAATTTTTTTCCTGTCTAGGGTGTCCTAAGGAGCTTTGAGTAATGCCAGCTCAGACATATTAATTGCCTACTATGGGAGCAGGTCCTGAGGGAAGTAATAAATGTATTTTTGAGATTTCCTATTATGTTTTAGGTCCCAAATTTGCAATCTTCTCTAAATTGATTTTCTACGTTAGAAGACATAGCTCAGTTTTTAACTGCCAACAAATGGAACAACATATTGTCCCCCTATTTAAATGTCATTCTAGTATTTTATGAGATTGAAACTAAATATTTTGGATAATTTGGAGTAATTTTAAAACTTTTCTTAGATTCCTGAGATTTTGGGACTCTGTGGAATGAGGAATATCTTTCTTTGGGGACATGTATGGACATTTACTCCTCCTTAAAATAATGCCAATGTGCCCTTTGAGCTTTTTTTGCCATTGTTGGGATGCCAAAGTGCACCTCAGACACTTTGGCTGGTGACTGCTGTCTTAGTTTTGAGGGACAGTTATTCAAATAAAATTGTTGGAGCTGCCAGGCTTGTCTGTGTTCCTACAGCTGCAATGCCTGGGTTGAGCTTTTTTTGGAATTCTGGTAGGATTTTAGCATTTACAAACCACATTGACCATTTTGTGGTGCAGTTAATTATTTATTTTAATTTATTAAACAAAAAATTGCCCTCCTGAATCACCAGCAATGTGAGTTGAGCTGATCTAATCAATCAGCTCTTGTGCAGCACAGGCTTGATGGGTTATCCATGGATACTTTACTCAGGCACAGCATGGATTAAATTCTGTATTCCTACCACAGCCTTTTGGAGATGATGATGACCCTGAAATTAAAGCCTGCCCCAGCAATTTCCTGATGTCTGTGGTGATGGTACAGAGGGGAACAAAAGGTGGATCCTTTGGTATGGTTAGTGCAGCTGTTACCCACAGTCATTTCTCCAAGTTGCTAGATGGGCCTGGTTCTTTTTATCCTCAGGGAGATAATACATATATTTATGTATGTTATTTCTGTATGTGTGACCCTTCTGGTCATTTGACTCACCTGGATTTATAAGTTGTGCTGGTCATTAATTGGTCTGTACAAAAGCACATTCCACCAACCTTCCTTTCCTCTCTTCCCATGGAATTTTGTGCTTGATGCATCCAGTTTTTACATTTTGGTTCTTAATTTTTCCTGCAGTGCCAAGCAGGGAGGCTTTGGCAAGGCTTGTTCTTCTGTAACATCAATGAGGGATCCGTCCTTCCCTCCCAGCAGATGGCTGGCAGCTTGTGCTGACACATTTCCAGAGGAGTGAATTAATTGTTTGCATTGTACATGCATTGTGTAGATGCTTCTTTGGCTCAATATTTGCTCTCAGTGTGTCCTGCCCAAGAAGGGGGCTGGAAGAGGGAGATGTTTCTGCCACAGGAGCAAATCCTCCAGCCTCTGCATAGTGCAAGCCTCCAGATCTGCAAAAAAAGGTGCTTTTTGCTGTCTCAGGTTCCCACATGGCTGGGGAATTACAGGGAAATCATCTGAGGCTGTTCTCCTCCTCAGGAACTGAAAATAAGGAGCAGTGTGTGTGATAGTGCACATGGCTGTGACTGAGGCAGGATTTAGCAGCAGAAATACAAACTGCAGCCTGTTAAAATGATGTGGGAAGGGGCTGGAAAGAGAATCAGGACACAAGTTTTAATCACAGATCATAATCACGTGTAACTGTGGCTGCTTGGCTTTGGGGTGCTGTGTGTAACCCCTGGGATCAGGAGCAGTTCCACTCTGTTCCTGTAGTGATTTGCTAGGCCTGCTAAGACTTGGAGTCTGTTCTGCATAAATGCAGCCTGAGAAACCCCAGCACAGTGCCTCAGTGCAGCAGTGCCACACAGAGAGGAGCAAGGGGCAGAGCTGCCATTCTGAATTTGTACCTGCTCCGTGTTGAATTTTACACCTGTTTAATCACAAGGTTACCTTCTGAACGGCTGATTTTCTCTCTGCCTCTCTCTAGAGCTCTGAGGGTTATAACATGAGCATCCCCATGCCAGGCCACCCGGTGAACTTCTCGGAGGTGACCATGGCCCAGGCTCGGAAGGACGTGGCGCAGCTGGAGGAGCTCATCGAAGGCCACGACGTGGTGTTCCTGCTGATGGACACCAGGGAGAGCCGCTGGCTGCCTGCTGTCATCGCAGCCAGCAAGAGGAAGGTGTGCCCCAAGCCCTTCATTGCCTTTCCCTTTTTCCTTTCCTCCTTTCCTTTCCCTTTCCCTTTCTCATCAATGGCCAACCCATTCATTGCCTTCCCTTTCATTCTCCCTTTGTCCTAACCCCGTTTCTGGCCCTGAGCAATGGACTTCTTTCTTTATAGCTGAAATGAGCTTCCCTTTGCCAGTGGAGAGATCAGTGTCCCTTTACTGAGGGCTTCACTGGATCACAGCTTCAGGTGTAAGGGTGTGTAACTTGATAATTCATCAGTTCCTCCTTAATCCTCCTGGCTTTTCTTGCACCTGTGGTTCTTCTTTCTGTTGTAGCTGTTGAAAAACAGCACAGAAATGTCAAAAAGAGCAAGTTTGCAAAGCTTGTTGTCTCCTTACCAAAAATCTGATTCCATTCCACAGAGGACTGACTCTCCATGTTTGTTAAAGAATAAATATCAATAATATTTACCCATCACACAGCCCAGGCAGGGTGTTCCTGGCACTGTGTTTGTGCTACTCATGGACACAAAATTCCTGCTACCTACTGGGCAGCAATTTGCTGGGAGTAGGAATTTGAGGCAGAAATGATATGAATAAAGCAATTTCTGACCTTTCTGTTCTGCACCAGAGCTGCCAATATAAGCATCATGAAGTTGACTTTATAAATCTCTTGAGAGTCTGAAAAGAATTCAAATCAGCCAACTCCCAATTATTATGTGAGTTGGCTGATTTTAATTATTACTTACTATTATTACCACAAAATCTTCATGTTGTTTTGGTACCATACAGCACTTTTTTCTTCACCTCAACCCAAACTCTACTTTCAAATGTGTTAACAGTTTTCAAAAATTCAGTTTTAAAATTTCAAAATTTGAAGCTGGGAAATGCCAGGGCCAGCCTAGTCTTCCACATGGTATGGATGGGAATTTCCAGCAATATATGGAGTTTTTTGTGCATATTTTATGTGAATCCTGTCTGGTTCAATCAGGATAAAGTGGTTTTATGATCTCCAAAACTTCCTTCCCATGTTTTCTTAGCCAGCAGTGCCCATCTACAGTTTCCTTGCACATTTGTATAATTTTGAGGATACATTTTGAAACTTTTTGTGACATTTCTCTGTTGCTTCTTGGTGCAGTGTGTCTGCATCACAGTTGGTTGACTTGATAACATCACTTAGGTCTGAGGAGATGGAATTCTCTCTCACTGAAGAAACACAGCAGGGAAATCTTGAGGTGTCCAAACAAACACTCAGTATTTTATGTTGCTGAACACCCAATGAGAGCTCTGCTCCAAATGTCATTTTGTGTGGCACCTGCAGATCTCAAGTATTGCACAGTTTGGTCTCAAAAAGGGAATAAAGAAGATGGTGAGAGATGGTTTTTGTGAAATGCACACCACCAGGTCCATGGGTAGCAGTAAGGGTTGTTGTCCCCACTCCATCATTCAAGTGCCCTGGGGATCTTTGCCACTCCTGCAGTCCTTCCCCAAAACAAGCACCTCAGACAAACCAGCCCCTCAAATGCTAAATCCCCCTGTCAGATGTTAAATCTCTGCTCCTGCTGAGCACTGGAACTTGTTAAAATTTGCTTGTTTTTTCTTTTTGTTAATCCATGCCAAAAGATACTTTTCCATTTCTCTCTTATACTTCTCCATTGTCTCTTTATCAAAACCAGATGATTTTTTTAATTAAGGCTCAATCAGTCAGAATGAAATATTTACCTGCCTGTAAACTGAGAAGAAACAGTTGATTGCAGTGGGAATTGTTTAACAATATCAGTAATTTCTGCTAATACCAGCATATTTTGGAAGTGGAACACCATATTCAGGTTTTACAGGTAGATGCAGTGAGAAGATGCAATCTTTTAATTGCTGTGGCCCTGCACAGATTCAACAGCAGGGTTCCACTTCAGGACTGAGGAAAAATGAACTACTCCAAGGCTGAAAAAGAATATGCAGAAATAATTGGAAGTACTAAGAACGATGATGAGACTCAAAGCTCTCTAATTAAGATGACTAATTGTTGAGAGAGCTCCCCTCAGAGTTCTTCTTTTAAATAATTCCTGGCTGGAAGAATGGAAAACGAGGAAGTGCTGCACCAGAATTTCTATCAACAGGAGCTGCAGATGAAGCAGTGCATCTTCCTTTGTATTTGACTGGCTGCAGTCATCATTGTGTTGATATTTGTGCTCCAGATTCCTCTGTGCACTTGCCACAAAGTGGAGAGAAAGGGGAAATGAGGACAGAGGAATTGTGCACACAGCTGCTCCTGCTCCCCATGTGACTAAGCAGATGCAGATGAAGCCCATAAGTAATCATTAATTGCTTTCCTTACTGAGCAGAAATTGCTTTGGATAACAGATGGCATTTCATTGCTTGAAGCTGCTGTTGCTTTTTTGTCACAAGTTTGTGTAACAGCTAGAGGGAGTCATTCATAGGGATCAGATTGCCCTGAAAGGCACAGAAAAGGACAAGGCCTTGTGACTTTCTGAAACAGACTTTTATTTTGGTTTTGGTTTTTTCTAAGGGCTTGGCAGCTGGAATTCTGCACCTTTCAGAAACTGTTGTTTGTGGCTAAGGTGGTAAATATGCAGTTAATGGGTTGCTCATCCATCTACAGCATGTGGGCTTTTTGGCATTTATAGTGAATAAAAACCTCAAGGCTGATTTTTTCTTCCCCTCCCTTTTTGGCTCACTTGAAATCTGTTGTTCTCTCTTTATTGTTCACAGTTGGTCATCAATGCTGCCTTGGGATTTGACACTTTTGTTGTTATGAGACATGGCCTAAAGAAACCAAAACAGCAAGAATCTGGTGATTCACATTTCAGCAACGCTTCTGCTTCTTCTGATCTGCTGGGATCCTCACTGTTCTCAAACATCCCTGGCTACAAACTGGGCTGCTACTTCTGCAATGATGTTGTGGCACCAGGGGATGTGAGTAGAACCTTATGCAAGTGGTGATTATATCTCACTTTTGTTGGGACTCAAATTTTTATTTGGTTTTAATGGTGTTTCCTAAAGGGATCTGCGCTGTGCTGATGCTCATGAGGTAAAGAAATAGCAGATTTTTATTTGGAAGACCACATATGTGAATTGCACAGCACTAGAGGTGCTTTGTACAGGGCAGCTGGTTCCTTTGGGGTTCTTTTGCCTTCCCTTCAGAGCTGTGTGTGTTTGTAGTCCACCAGGGATCGGACACTGGACCAGCAGTGCACGGTCAGCCGGCCTGGACTGGCCATGGTGGCTGGAGCCCTGGCAGTGGAGCTCATGGTTTCTGTGCTGCAGCATCCAGAAGGGTGAGCCATTGCTGTTCTCTGAGAAATCAGACCAGGCTAATAGAATCTGCAGTGAGGAGGAGGAATTACACCTCAAGAAGGACAATTCTGTGAGGGGTAACGTCTGTAAATTAATGCAATGAGCAGGGTTGGAGGGAACTGCTTCATCAAGGCTTAAGTTTTTCTTCTGTCTCTGAATCCAACCTCAGAAAAATATTAAGAATCTTTCAAAAGATGAAAATGTTGCTATTAGTAATCTTGGATCTCCTTTCCCCCTTTCCTTTTTCCTTTTCCCTTCCCTGTGATGAGGAGCTGTTGTAAGGTGTGGCAGGCACATGAAGGCCTTCAAGATAAGCCCTGTGTTGCAAATCTTATTTAAAATGCTGCGTGTGATACAGAAATTACTCTGAAATTCTGCACCTTGAACCTCAGGCTTGTTTTCTCTCTTTAAAACCTGTGAGAGAATAATTGATTTAGGAGTTGAAGATGAGTCTCAGACTGATTTATATATATTTATCATGCTGAGTCTTCGTTCCTATGAAACAGACTTTCCACATAGATTCCTTGACTCATTCGAAGCTGTAGCAAAATGTCTGGAAGCTGACTGGAAATTCTGAGTGTGTTGTCTTGCTCTAATTTTCCCTGTTGTGTTTTTGGCAGTGGTTATGCTGTGGCCAGCAGCAGTGATGACAGAATGAATGAACCACCCACTTCCCTTGGGCTTGTTCCTCACCAGGTAAATCATTGGTGATAAAACCTTTTGTTGAAGAGCTGGGAACTGATCATCACAGATGTTGTCTCCTTAAAAAAATGCTGATTCCATTTCCCAGAGGACTGACTCTCCATGTTTATTAAAAAATAAATATCAATAATATTTACCCATCACACAGCCCAGGCAGGGTGTTCCTGGCACTGTGTTTGTGCTACTCATGGACACAAAATTCCTGCTACCTACTGGGCAGCAATTTGCTGGGAGCAGGAATTTGGATTAGAAATCAAGTGAATAAAGCAATTTCTGACCTTTCTCTTCTGCACCAGAGCTGCCAATATGAGCATCATGAAGTTGACTTTATAAATCTCTTGAGAGTTTGAAAAGAATTCAAATCAGCCAACTCCCAATTATTATGTGAGTTGGCTGATTTTAATTATTACTTACTATTATTACCACAAAATCTTCATGTTGTTTTGGTACCATACAGCACTTTTTTCTTCCCTCAACCCAAACTCCACTTTCAAATGTGTTAACATTTTTCAAAAATTCAGTTTTAAAATTTCAAAATTTGGGGTATTATTATTTGTATTGCAGAGTTACTGAAGTTCTGTTCCTGGTGACATCTCTTCATTTTAATAAACAGATTAAAAAGGATGATCAAAACTCCAAAAATTCACAACTGAAGTGATCAAACCATACTACAAAGTGTTTTCAGAGCTCCCTCTGTTAGCAGAAATAGTGGTCTGGAATTTTAAAATTGCCTATCAAATAAGATCATATTAACATCATAATTGAAGAATGCACAACAGTTAAATATTCAGGCTATGGGTTATAGAGATGGGGAAAAATATGTTTAAGCTGTCACACCGTGACTTTTTATTTTTCATGGAACTTTGCAGTCAGAAAAGGCCAACTGCAGATGGTGCTGTGCCTCTATTTCTGGTGAAGTAATGCTGCATTCAGGCAGTTGTGCCAATATTTGTACAGAAAAAAGCAGTAATATGTGCTCAGTATAAATTCATTACAAGTTTTACTGGGAATGACTCTTAGAACAAGGTAGATGTTCTTTTTATGGAATGCATGTGTCCAGTTCATATTGAATTTTGGAAATGTTAAAATAGTAATGTAATTTTTTTTTTTTTTTTTGTCTTCTAGATCCGAGGATTTTTATCCAGATTTGATAATGTTCTTCCAGTCAGCCTGGCATTTGATAAGTGCACAGCCTGTTCAGCCAAGGTAAGGCTGTGTTTGTGTTTTCTATTTTTTTTTTTATATTTCTAGGTCAATTTTGGGGAACTTTTTGACATTTTCTCTGACTTCCATAGGGTTTGGAATCTGTTCCCACTTCAGCTAAAAGTTCTTTTTCCCTTTCTTTTTAGCTTTTTTTTTTAGCTGTTTTTCTAAATTTCTTTGGCATCACCTTTTAGCATGCTTCTCTTTTTATCTCCACATAAATGCTGCCATCTGCTGAAGAATCCAAGCAGAGATTGACCAAGACATTGCTGAAAAAATCACAAAAATACATATCACAAAAACACTGTCATTATCTTTCAGCTTTGTAGGAAGGAATGAGATTGGTATTATTTAAGAAATCCTTTCTGATGTCTGAAATTGAATAAATATCCCTTTAGCCTTCTGCAGCTTAATGTCTTTCCAAATAGGCAAAATTGTCGAAATTTCTAGTTTGTGATACAAAACAGACAAATAATGAACAATTGAGGGGAAAAATTGCTTCTTACCATTTCTTTATTGAGCAGACTGTTGACTTTACTGCTGGTGCTGCCAGTCCTGAGTCACCTCAGAGTTCCCAGCTGTTTCTTGGCTCTCTGGAGCAGCTCTTGCATTGTTTCCCTCTCCTGTGGCCTTCCAAAGTTCCCTCTGGCAAGTATTTTCTAGCTGTGGAGTGCAACTTCCAGAAGTTTTCCCTGGGATCTCTCAGCAGGGAGATTCAGAGGGTTTTTGCCTCATGGTTTGAAGTGCTTGGAGTGCCATGGATTTATTTCACCCTCCTGTACCTTGAGGAAGGGCTTGCAGAAAGTTCTTTCTGTTCCTTTCCCTGCCCTTGTCCTCCTTCCAAAGAGCCATCAAGCAGTAATGGGGCACGGGCATCTTCTGGAGAGCTTGCACAATATCTTCTTCTACAGTGATCCTTTTTTTTTCCCTCTGGGCTATCTGGGTACATCTGACAAGTTTTGAAGGAATCTCAATGTGCATTTTCTCTTCAAAAGTTGAAGCTCTAAAGTTGGGTGTTTCTAAAAATAACAGCAGTGGGATCTACCCTGTTGAAGAGCTGAAAGCTCAGCAGTAGCTGAAACCTTGATGGTGGAGAATTTAAACTGTTAGATGAAGCTTTTTTCTTTCTCTTTTCCTCTTATTTTCTCCTTATCTCCAATTCAGGAAACACTGCCATGTAAAAACAATAAAAATGTACATCCAGGCAGATAAATTCAATGCAGGGATCAATTTTTCCTTAGCAAATCATTTCCTCTTGGAGGTCATTTTAAGAGAGCCCGTTTTACATAAACAGACTTGATGATTTAATAAAAAGTGCCTTGGATTTTAGCAGCTGTGCTATTCCCAGAGAGATCACTTTTCATGTGGTTTGGGGATTGAATTTCTTGTGTGCTGAAAAGGTTGCTCCATTGGCTCACGGATTTCCTTACAGTAGAAACACAGCTTTTGTTTACTTTGCTAACTTTATTTATTAGCATAAGATATGTCACCCTGCATTATGTGGAAATCTGATGCTGATGCTTTGAAATGACAAATCCAATTATGATTTAATTGTAGTCTCTATGTTGGTTTGTTGTGTGAGGGTTTGTTTTTTAATACGGTAATTTAGTATTTCATCCTGCTCCATGTCAGAATTACTGGAGGTTCAGACTTTCAGCACAGATAGAATTGAATTTGCTGGCATTGTGTTCATGGTGGTTTTCTTTTGTCAGCATTCTCCTCTTTGAGCTTCTGTCACTCTGTAACTCTTAAAGCACAAAACTAATGAATTAGGAATTTTAGAAGAATTCCAGTACATCCTGAAGCGATCCAGCCCAGCTGGAGGACTCAGGAGAAGCTGCTGATGATCTGCATGTTTGGAGATTGGAGTCCTTTTCATTTGGACTCAGTCATTCCTTCATTTCTCTGCTTTTGAAGCTCTAGAGGCCAGACATGCAAGCAGCCAACTTTTCCCTACCCAGAACTGTCCTGCCCAGGCCACGTGCCAGAGAAGCTTCCTGCAGGCAATTGTTCAGGAATTTTGGGATGGTCGCAGCAGGAAACCAATCTATTTTTATTCTGGGCCAATTTTTCCTCTGTCTTATTCTGGTCCTGCAGAAACTGTGCTGGAATGTCAAATATCCCTGTCAGAGCTCAGGGCCCTGGGAGAGCACTGAGAACTCTTCTGGTGCCAAACTTGTTCTGGCACCAGCAAGGGAGACTCCAGAGCTCTTCAGGATGGATATTTGTCAGACAATATTTCGGATGGATATTTGTGAGACAATACTTTTGTCTGACCCAGAGATGGGGCAACTGAGAAGCATTTTAAAAACCTTTATTCCTTTTTCAGTCTCATGAGAAGGCTGAGACAATACAGATGTTATAATTCACACCATCACAATCAGAAGTTAACTAATTCTTCATTACAAGCATTATAAGCATTTCTTGGCTATCAGCTTTTTACCACACCATACTATAGATGCCTTAAAACTAATAATCTAAAATGACTCCTCATAAATCTTACTACAATGCATCTTTCATAGTTCTGTTTCTCTAAAGTATCTAATCTTATTTACAAAGCCATCCTTGGAAACTTTTTTCTAACTCCATTTCTCTCTCAACAATATCTGTCCTATTCCATAGCATTTCTAAATCAGCTTTTCTTATCTCAAAGTTTACATACAAATACATACTGGGTAAACCTTCTATCAAGCCCTGGAAACTCTCTACAAATCCATTTCCCACAGATATTAATTTGTAACAACTTTACTTACAGGAGAAGCTTTATTTAGTATTTAGCTTATTACTGACTGGGCTAATTAACCTGTTTACCCTCTTAGGAGCAAAATGAGGCTGTTCATTATGTTATGGTGAGAAGTGTTGCAATTCCTTAGAAAACAGATCTGATCCTTGCAGAAGGCTGGTTAAAGCCTTAAATCATCAATGTTAAAATATGTATTTTAGAATTTAAAAAAGGATTAAAAAGTATTTTAATGCAAAACTGCTAGTGTTTCTATTTTAATGAGGGCAGTGAAAATTTGCTTTTATTGCACCCCTTTACTTGTGCCTCATGGAATGAACGAGGAGATCCCACAGATGCAGAGTTTAATGTCACAAAAGATAATTGCCACCAAGCAACCTGGATATAAAGATAACCTTTATGAAAGGTAAAACCAGAGGTAGAAACCCTCTGGTTTTACCCATAGCTCACATTTCTTCCAGAGTTAAAATTTCTCTTTCCCCTACTACAGTCATGCTCGTGTGTAACTACCCCTACTGTGAAATGTATCAAAACCAGCACGAGGTTCTCTGCTGATTTGATTTTCAAGTTCTTTCCCTTTTTTGCTGGGAGCTGGAGCTGCTGAAGGGGCTTTTTACCACTGAGTTCCTGTTGAATGTTTCTCAGTTTCGTTGCGTGGCACGGAGGGGCAGACACTGGGATCAGGGATGGTATTGTTGGCATTATGTTACAATTTCTGGTTTCCGTCAGGATATTCCCCTGCCCTTGCAGATGTTTTTCCTTTTTGCCATCTCAGGAATAGATGAAACCCTTTTGCTGTGACATTTACTGAGCGCTGGAGTTGCATAAGTTGGTTATTTATGAGTGTTTCAGTTTGGAAATCTGTCATCGTGGAGCCTCAACAATGCTCTCATTGTTCTCCTCTGCTAACTGCTGGGCCTGCATTTTTATTTGAAATTGTTCTGATCACTTCTGACAGCAACCTGCAAGATTCACTCACTCACTGATGCTTTTCAGTTGAGATAATTTTAATTTTGATTCCAGGCCGTTCAGATTTGCCCTGACTGCACTAGGACATTCTTCTTTGCTTTCTCCCAGTAGCAATGGAAGATCTGTCAATGAAACTTCTTCAAATCTTTTCATATTATACATTTCTCAATTCAAGTATTGTGTGGATGTAAAAGTCGTGGGGGGGAAAAGCCTTGGTCATTCCTGTGCTAAAAGAAAGAAAAAATCACTTGCAGAGCTTACAGAATTGATGAAGGAAATGGGGAGAAATGTTTGTCCTTCAGAAATGAACATTTCAAAAATGGAAGAGAATGTTTTAAAAGAGTTGTTTCTGTAGCTGTGCTGTGAAGTCAGTGAAGCAGAGTCCATATGTAACTTTCCTTATTTCCTGAATTTACATGTGTGGGCATTTGACAAGTCTCTGCCCAGTGCAGCCTCTGTATTAATATTGGATAGATTTCATTGAGGCTTGGAGAACGAGTTGTTGATACACCCAAGCACATTTTCAGCATCCTGAGTTCCATGTAGGACTTCTCTTAGAAATGAATAAAAATGAATTTTCCCATTGCTACATTTAAATTTCAAAATGGCAGGGTTTAAAGGAAAGAGGAAACCTACCATTGTTTAAGACAATGGAATAATTTCTGACAGGCTGTATTTCTGTTGCATTTAAGTGCAATTTTATGGGTCTTTAAGGGTTTTCTTGTTTAGGATTTTTCCCAGTGTTTCTTCTTCCAATTCAATGAAATTCTAGCTACACTTAGGACAAAGTAAAGGACTGTCAATGAGGAAAAAGACAGAATCACTGCAGTTTTCTAATATTGACATGTTCAATATCTACCTGTGCCTAGAATATAATTTTTGGTTATTTATATTAGAGATAATCTGTGCTCTGTCATCTCTCTGTGAAGCTGTCACACAATTCCTTTTCTGTCAGTTAAAACAAAACTCAACGAAAATACTTTGGCTGTATTGTAAAATATCTGTCTAAAAGAATTGCAAAAACCAACTTGGAGAACACTGAACTGGATTAAAATTCAGGAATATTCAACATGTGGTGATGATGATGATGATGGTGTTCACCCCACCATCAATTCCAGCCCTTATTCTCTAGGATTCCACCTGGAACTCAAAAGATCAGTTGTTTATTTTGCTGGATAGGAGCGATTTGTAGTTGTTCTTTTTTCCTTCCATAAGATTTTTGCAGCCTAGTGCTTTCTGTTCCCTAGTTTTTTGGGAAGCTACTCAGTTATTATTAGTTATTCAATTGTTATTA